AAAGTTCATCCTGGTTTGAATAATTTTTATCTCGTATTTGCTTATTTAAGTATTCCCATAGATTTTCAACGGGGTTTATATCGGGAGACTGTGAAGGCCATTTGAGAACTGGTATTTTTTCATCCAGAAAGAATTTCTTTGCGAGATTTGAAGTGTGCTTCGGGTCATTATCTTGCTGGAAGATTGATCTTAAGGGCATATTGTCTTCCATATAGCGTAACATGACATGCTTTAGTATGTCTGTGTATACAAACTTATCCATAATGCCATCTATTCTGTGTAAAGGTCCCATCCCAAACCAAGAAAAGCACCCTCAAACCATAACAGACCCGCCTCCATGTTTGGCAGTGGGTAAAGTATACTTGGGGTTCAATCTTTGTCCACTAGGACGTCTAACGTAATGAACACCATCTGATCCAAACATATTGAACTTGGACTCGTCACTGAAATATACCCTCTTCCAGTCACATATGCTCCAATCAAGATGCAACCGTGCAAATTGTAATCGGTCCTGACGGTTTTTCCTCGAGATTAGCGGCTTCTTACTCGGGCGACGTGCAAATAACTTCAAATCTTTTAATCTTCTACTTATAGTTTGACTGACAATTCCTTTTGTCTCGATTTCGGCTTCTATTTGTCTTGGAGTTTTAAACGGATCTATGTACGAAATTACTTTTATTAATCTAACTGATCTAGCATTTAGTTTTCTAGGCCGACCACTTCTCTTAGAGGCTTCCAAGATACCTTTTTGTTTATATTTATTCAATATTGCCCAAACTGCTTTACGCTTCGGCTTCAAATTTTTAGCAATGTCGACTTGACGTTGACCACCTTTGTATAACTCAATGATCTTAGTTTTCACATCGAAAGAAATTCCTGGGCCACGCGGCATGGTCTTGAAATCACTCAACTTATTCCACAATACTTGATGAACACAAACTAATCCTCTTCTGACACGAAACTGTACTAAACTAATGTTGACAAGAATTTGTCTACATGCTTGTATTCAGACTTGTATTGTGTTCATTACAGATAATGTAAAAACAAAGAATTTAATTTTTCTACTAATAACGCATTTGTTTGTGGAGCAATGGACAATGAAGTATGAATTTGGTTTCTAAAGGTGTTTAGGTAAATATTCATATTTGTCTATATACTTTTGTACATTACTGTATATCTACTCTGGAAGCCAATATACAAGTCCACAGAAACTTTGATCATACTTGCATTTAAATGTTTAATTTTCTAACACACAAATCTTAAAGGTTCCCACAAGTACGACTGGTACCAAAATGAAGATCCGGATGGTGAAGCTAGCACGTCAAAGGAAAATTAACTATTAAATATTTACGCACATATTTATTTTTAATTTTTGTTATATTGCTGTTGCATCTGTATTATAACAAAAAAAAACCTTTATTTTGTTTGATTAAAAATGTGTTCCAATTATGCAAAAAAATGCACTAAGTATCAGTGGTGATTTTCCTTAAAAGTGTACTTTTTTTGTTTAAAAATTATGGTCACCCTACGCTCCAAAATTATGCAGTTGTAAAATGAAAAAGTTACGTAAGCGCTCTAAAATTGTTTCGGCAAACGCACGGCGTAGATGGTGGTCCTGCGGTTTCTGTTCCGGCACTTGTTGAAGTTTATATGTAGTAGGACACTAAAATCATGTAAACTAAACAGAACGAAACAGCCGCCGCGCAACAATGCACGAATCTCCATTTTTTTAATAAGCCTTAACACCCTGTATATGTTGCAGATGCTCTAAGGACTTTTTATATGTTACAGAATAAGTCTAAATTCATATTATCACAGATGCACATAAAGGAAACAAAATGTAAGGCACTGGTGAAATATAATTTTCGAACTAATTGCGTAGTCCTTGAGGGTACTCTATTCTCTACGTTATCTCATCACACTTCATTATTATCTAAGGAATTCTAGAGTAAATCACAAAATTCATCAGATATATTTCAAATATGATGGAAGTGTATAAGATTTTACACATGTAAAATGTGGTGAATGCGCATATATTTTTAACTATTAAGTTTGAAACAAGCTACTAGTATATTAAATCAAAATAAGTAGTTTTATGTTAATTCTGTTTGAAATATTTATCCTTCTTTGCTTATGCTCAAGTTTGATGAAGTTTAGATTTAATACTTAATATTATTTTCCCATATATTTTCCCAAATTACATGAATTTTTCTGTAGTCCGTTGAAAACATTCATGTATGTAGCTACTTAACGTACTTTGGCTTTGATAAAAAAAAACAAAATTGGACTTAACACAGGAAGTCTAGGAAGTGTAAAGATTGCCTAAAGGCAGACAAGGTTATGTAACAGAATTAGATTTTTATGCAAAGAACAAACTTGTTTCTTGAATACACTTACCGTCCAATACACAAATTCGTAGGTGATACACTCGTATAAGTATTATATATATTATCTAGATCCTTACCATGCGGTGAATTGCGATAAAAGTCGTGGAACATTTCAGGAATCGACGGTAGCAATTTCAGAGGATCTTCGCTTTTTATTATCCATGATCATCTTGGACTGTAGGCACAATGCTAGCAAGTCAGTATCTGCTTAGGGGAGTCTCTTTTTTATTTGTAATCAAATGTACTGAATGGCCACCTTCAGATTCAAGCTAAGCAAACGAAATGTATGTTTGATTATTGTTTGGTTGGGTTTTTGCTTTAAGATAAACAATAATTGTATAATAATTTTTGCATTTCTTTTTGCAAAGAACAATTATTTGGCAAGACTGTTCAGTTGTAGTGTCAGGAATGTTACAAAATTCAGACCACGTGATCAAACTTCAAGTGGTAAGCGTTATCATGAGTTGATTCGTGAATTACTATATCATGCGAAGAAGATCTACTTCGGGAATAACTTCTTAAAGTTCCAATGCGCTGGCCTATATAAGTTAGAGAATAGGTTTTTGGTATAATATGTTATAAAACAAAGTACAAAACCAAATAACAACGGATTCTCAGTCGGAATACTAGATAGACTATTGCGGACGCTCTGAGATCCTGATTTTCATATATTTTTTAAAAATATTTCGACTCTTGATACATCAGACCGTTACCAATAATTTTATAGATCTCAAAGAAATCCTAATAACAATAATAGCTTACACATAGCGAGCTATCACATACCTGTCCATGGGCAGACCCAAATCAACATTACCATTTATACTGATGTATAGCTCCTATGACACGTAATTTATGTAATATTACTGGCAACAGGATATAAACTTGAGTAATAGGAAAGGGTTATCTCAAGTTTATTCTGTATTTAACAATAAGATATTTTAAGTTCTACAAGGATATAATAAATGATACGTATAAAATATAAGGCTATAACCATACAAGTTTTATGATTATGGACAAACAAAATAAAAGCAGAAACCCTTCTGTGCAAAAAAATATTTTACTAATATTGCAAGTAGCAAATGAAATTTCACAATACGCATTTAATATACAGGGTGGCGCATCGAAAACGAAACAGACGCATTTACTGGCAGCTCAGTTTTTTTTTAAAACGCTCAGACCCGTCGATTTTGTTTTCGAGGGGGACACAAGTTTGGCAAAAAATCACGTCCTAAGCGGGGGTGACACCACCCCGAAAATCTTAAATAGAAAGGGGGGTCGAGTGATACCTTATTTTAAAGGTCTTTCAATTCCCTTTATAATGATATAAAATTAATGTAGTTTTGAAGATTTATTGATTTAAAGCTTAAATAAAACTAATACATCATCATTAGTGAAGATCAATACATTTGGCAGCAAAGTAATTTAAAAATGAAGAATGAACTGACCCGTTAGCCAAGTAAATGTTGAAAATGTCTACCATGACTCTCCATGCAATAATAAAGATTTTGCTCAAAACGTTGCCGCACATTTTGCAATATTTGAGGAGTAATTTGAAGGCACTCATTCACAATTCTTTGTCGCAGGTCTTCTAATGTTGTTGGCTGAGTAGCATAGATGTTGCTCTTTAAATGACCCCACATAAAGAAATCCAAAGGTGATAAATCTGGCGATTCAATGGCACCTCTTCTACCAATCCATCGATCTGTAAACGACTGATCTAAATATTGTCGAATACGTAATGCGTAATGTGGTGGGGCACCATTCTGTTGGAACATCAACCTATTCGCAATGTACCGCCGATCATTCTGATTTTCAATTATGGCTGATAATGCAGGATCTATGGCGTCTTCCAGTAATTCCAAATACATTTTACCGGTCAAATTTCCAAATTTCTGGGATTAGAATCAGACCAATATCGGCAGTTATGACGATTTACTACGCCATTTAGGAAAAAGGAACATTCGTCGGAAAAGCAAGTGTTGAATAGAAAATGTTCATCGTTTATAATTCGTTCACTCATATCTTCACAAAATTGTAATCGCCGATCAAAATCGTCTTCATTAAGTTATTGTACCAGGTGAATTTTATACGGATGAAAACTGTGGGCCTTTAGAATCCGTTGGACAGTACGTCGACTAAGACCACACACAGTCTCCAATTTGCGGATACTTAACGTAGGATCTAGATAAACTTGCCCTAAGAGAATTGAAAGACCTTTAAAATAAGGTATCACTCGATCCCCCTTTCCATTTAAAATTTTAGGGTTGGTGTCACCTCCGCCCAGGGGGCTGCACGTGTTATCGTGATTTTTTGCCAAACTGATGTCCCCCTCGAAAACAAAATCGACGGGTCTAGGCGTTTTTCCACAAAAAAACTGAGCTGCCATTAAATGCGTCTGTTTCGCTTTCGATGCGCCAGCCTGTATTCAGGGCTAACATTGTCTTAACATAGTTTGCCTCTGAGATACAGAGATGCGTTAGACATTGTAGGTTTAGGCGTTTACAGAAGATCAGGATGAAAGTTGAGCTTTTATTTTCGTTCAGTATAAGTGACAAAAAAATCAGCCAGTCAGAAACAACTTAGGTTTTTGACAGAGTATTTTTTTTGTTATAGGGCGTAATGTGCCTGAGCTGTCGGCGTCTTTGGACGGCCGTGCAAGCGTTGTGGAGCACCCTGTACGTGACTTCTGGTGGCGCCCTCCTTACGGCCGGCGTCTTTTTCGTCATTTCATTACCAGATCAGCTGTACCTTTACGGCACGCTTTGTGCCGGAGCCTGGGTAAGTACATAATTCTCCTATAGTACCATTTTTCTAATGGTGAACCGTATATAAAGTGAAAAAATGTCATCTTGCCTGAAAAAGTAAACGTCATAGTTCCATACTTACAGCCCCGCTTCCAGTACTGACCGTGAAAGAATGCCCAAGAGAGCAACCTGTTCTTAAACCATACACCAAATTCTAATGTTTTAAATAATAGTAATAACAAAATGCCTTTTATTTTCCTGGGGAGGATTCGGCTAGCAGCTGTTCCTACTCCCTAACCAGGGTACCAATTGTTTACAAGCACCTTTACAATAAAATTTAATAATTTATGAGAGTTTAAGGAAAAAAACAACAAGAGTCTGTTTACAGTTATATAGATACGCCGTCTTTAAACATCAGCTCCTTGATTTGTCCTTTGAATCTACTAAGTGGTAGCTGCTTGGCTGAAAGCGGCATGTTATTATACAATGCAGCTCCTATATAAAAAACGATTTTTTAAAATTAGCTGTACTGTGAGCAGGAATATCTAGTGTATAATCGACAAATCTGAGATTGGCATTATGATACTGATTACGCATTGATAATTTATCTTTTAAGTAGGCGCGTTTATTACAAAAAACGAAATGCACCAAACAGCACAGATTTTCCATCCACCTTTTTCTCATAGTTATCCATGGAATACTGCATAACAGACACATGCATTTTGAATCTTTTGCAACCTGTTGGATTCATTTTGTATCAGGCAAGGACCAAACATAGAATTAGCATATTCTACTTTGCTTAGAATCAACGAATTAGTTAACCTAACTTTGGCGGATTCAGAAAGTACGTGTCTGAAACTATATATATGCTTTTCAAGGCACTATGTGAGCTTTTTTCAAGGTACTATATGAGCTTTGTACTATTTTTGTGCACACCTAAATTTTTTATCTGCAGTTTATGATGGAGTGGCTCTCCTCCGATAGATAAATTAACAACTGTCAAAATTGCTCAGCTTGGACTTAAAGGTAATGACAGTGGATTTTCTTCGGTTTATAAGTAATCCATGGCTAGAGAAATATTGATTTGCAGCCTGTAGGTCTCTTGACAGTTTGATATTGGCTTGTACAAAATCATCAGGATTATTTGAAAGGTAGATCTGGGTGTCATCTGCATAGGAGTGAACTTTACAATAAGAAATAGACTCGTTGAAATCTGATACAAAAAGATTAAATAAAATTGGCCCCAGGATCGAACACCTTGCATAACATTGCATTGCGAAGATATACTAAGTGACATATAAATCCGAACACCCAGTTTAAATGGTTTTATTTTGATAAAAGTTGGTGAATGTATTTATCTTACTGTAAGTAACAAGTGAAAAAATTAAGCCTTATCAGTTGGACATTCCGGTTTTTATACTGCTTTTTTTTAATTCACTAACGCTCTAAAAATGAATATTTCAGCCACAGTAAAGAATCAACGTTGGCGGATTTTGGTTCTTGACATCCTTTACGATCGGTTACAATGCCTAGAGTACGGAGACCTGTAGGATTTCGTCAACTTAGTGAGTTTGATAGGGGCCGTATAGTGGGACTTCGGGAAGCTGGACTTTCTTTTCGGGCAATTGCAGTTAGAGTGCAAAGAAGTGTAGACACTGTGGTTAGGTGTTGTCAGGCATGGCTTCGAGAAGGCCGTACGCAAAGATCAAGGGGCACTGGACGCCGCCGTAGAACAACAGACCGTGAAGATCGCCGCCTAAGATTATTGACCTTAAGGGACCGTTTCTCCACTACCAGGTCCATTGCAAATGAATGGTTTGCAGAACACGGAAGACCTGTTGGCATGCGAAGTGTTTACCGACGAATGAGAAGTTTTGGCTTGTTTTCATACCGGCCACATTGGGTCCTCCCTTTAACTCGAGAACACCGACGTAATCGCCTTGAGTGGTGCAGACAACGGTCACTCTGGGATCAGGAATGGAACAGTATTGTCTTTAGTGACGAGTCTCGATTTTGTTTAGGCATGCACGAAGGTCGTGCCAGGGATAGAAGGCGACGCGGTGAAAGGAGGAATCCACAGTTTTTTGTTGAAAGACATGTTCATCACACTGTTGGAGTTATGGTTTGGGGTGCTATAGCTTATGGTTCCAGGTCACCTTTAATCTTCATCAGAGGTAACATGAACGCGCAGCGTAATATCCACGAAGTTCTAGAACCCCATCTTTTACCCTATCTTGACACCCTGGCAGATCCAACTTTCCAACAAGATAATGCCCGACCACATGTTGCAAGAGTCACAATAGACTTCTTTCAACATAATGATATCACATTGTTACCATGGCCACCAAGATCTCCCGACTTATCCCCAATTGAGCACGTGTGGGATATGATGGATAGGAGATTGCTCAATTTGCAACGTCCTCCTCAGACTCTAGAAGCACTTCGAGAGGAGTTGGTGGTTGCCTGGAATGAGATACCACAGGAGGACATTGACCACCTAATCAGAAGCATGCCTAGGCGCGTTGGAGAATACGTAGCACATCAGGGTGCATCCACACATTATTAAAGGTCAAAGGGCTTTAAAGCAGTGCAATCATTTTGAAATTTTTATCATTTACTTATTATGCTTCATTAAGTACTTATACAAAATTATTATATTATATTAATATTATTAAAATAAAACCATTTAAACTGGGTGTTCGGATTTATATGTCACTTAGTATATTTTTGCTCCAGGTTTCACCATTTGTGATCTACCAGATAGATAACTAGAGAACCAGGCAAGAGATGCTGCAGAAAATCCAAGAAAAGAAATCTATGATCTATGCAGTCAAAAACTTTACACAGGTCTAGCATCACGCATGTTGTAACTTTACCATCGTCTATGGCTCTTAAGTAGTCGTCACTGACATCAGTCAGTGCAGTTACAGTACTATGTCCAGGTTTGAAGCCTGATTGTGTGATAGGTATCAAGTTATATATTTTTGTATATGAATAGACATCTGCGCAAATACAATTTTATCTAATAACTTAGACAATATAGGCAATAGACTGATAGGTCTATAAGCACTAAGTTCCAGCGGATTATCAGTCTTTGGCAGAGGTATTACAGTTGCTAAATTTCCACAATTCTAGGGAAGTGAAAGTCTCCAAAGAAAAATTAATGATATGCGCAATAGCATTAAGACAATGTAGTATGAACATTTCCATTATTAATGGATTATGCGGGTCCATTCCTTTTTTTAACTTGTAACCTGAATACACTTTTCAACGATTTGATAACTTTTTAGCAGAACCTCGGTGTTCAGTACTACCTGAATGCACAATCTCATCAGTGTCCTTCCTCATAAGCTTTAGGTACATTATGTTCATATAGTTCTTTGTCACATCTCAAATCTCATCAAACTTCTCAGTGACCGAAATTAACCTATCTTTATCTTCATACAGCTACTATGTTCCGTTGAACATTGTTTCTACCAAACATTTCACTACACGTTGTACACGTCGCGTCGGATCACGTTCATGAAACGGAACACGTAGTAATTACTGATTAAACGACTGAGACCACTAAGGCGCTCCGAAAATGCGGATTTATTTTCTTCGGGGTACTTTTCTACGCAATAAACACGATTTCGGAATCGCACGAAATTCAAACAAATTTTGGCCGGTAGGACGAGTTAATTCTATTCCACTTTCTGATATTATAGACCGAAAAGTGCACAAATATTTCAAGTTGTAAGAAATACCAACAATAAATAGACGCGGACTTCGTTACCATCTTTTCAGCGTTCTGACCCGGTGCTCAATGTACTCCGTTATGCCAGGCTCTCTCCCTTACGTCTCTATAGCCATTTGACATAACATAAACAAATAGATGCCTTCGATATATCCCCAAATATCCTTACCATAACCGTTAATATTTATTACCCCATCATAGGTGGAGGTGTCGATAACAACAGTAGCTAGTTCTCTTACATGTTCTGGGCCTGCTAAGTGTACCGGTCATTTCAACTCTGTTCATCACCAAGAACTCGCCTGAAAAGAACTCTAATTTGTTTCTAGTTGTTGAAAGTGTAGAATCTATCAATTCAACCGAACCTGTATTCAAAACTCAAATCCTCAAACTCTTTTTTGCAGAATAGGTGTACCTATTTTCGAGTAATTTGATTTATTTGAAAAGGGAAACAAACACTTCGCACAAAACTATTGAAACGCTATACATTAATCCATGGCTTAATATCAGCTTATCGTCAAACCTTTCAGATTACATAAGATAAACAAGTGCATTATATCATAAGAGCGTCTTTTCAATAAGTTCTACGGAAGGAATATATTATTGAATAACATGATTGCTTTTTCTTATCCATCATAAAAACTGTTATTACTGTTATTTATTGCTCATAGTATCGTTTATTCATATTGCGTGACACTTGAGACGGTTAATGTGTTTCTGTAAATAACACAAAAACGTCTATAGTCTAGTTATTTTTAGGAACCAGCTTTAATAATTGGCTGCGTGATATTACCTTGAGCTGATTTTCATTCACTTGACCGTTATTAGAGTTTAATGATATAATAATTAAATAACCAGGTATTAAAGATGCAAACATTTGCTGAACTCGATGTGAATTGTGTGCGAGATGTAATTAATAATAATAATCCGGCTTTATTTATACAAAGTATAGAAAGGCGAAGTGTCGCTAAAAAGCGTTTTTCAACTTAACCCAACAAATATTTGTGTAGATTTTCTAATCCCAATGAAAACAAAAAAGTTAAAAAAAAAACCTGTAACGAGTCCCTATTCATGGGCATGGTCTACTTACTGGACAATGAAATCAGAGATAAAAAGCTTGAATCTTTTTTTTAAATTCTTTATAGAGTAGTGAGTGAACTCGGTAGGCAACGCGTTGCATAGCTTGATAGCAGAATACATATACGTTATGTACGACCTTTTAAATAGAGATGTTGAATGTCTCGGGATAACCAAGATATGCCTATTCTTTGTGTTCAGTTGATTAACATCTGAGTATGTGA